TATATAGCAAACATGTTGTTGTATGTGAAAGAAAGAAAAATAGACAAAACAAAAGAAAAATTAAAAAGAGATGAACTTATGATGTAAGCGCTTACATCGGCATTCTTATGATGTATGCGCTTACAGCGGCATTCGTATGATATAAGTGTTTACATCGGCATTCCTATGATGTAAGCGCTTACCTCGGCAGGGCATTTAAATGCCTATAAAAGGGGTATACATAGGTATGGCAATAGCAAGATTTTTATCACAATTGCGAAGAAAGCCTAGGCCAGCAGTTCTCGCAATTGCGAGTTTATCTTCGTAATTGCGAAGGGCCAATTGTCGCAAATGCGACATAATCTTCGCATTTGCGAAGGCAGCGGGATTGTTGTAACGACCCGGCTGGTTATTTTGAGAGTAATAGCCCTAATCCCCTATTAACTGCTTTTCCCATATCTATTTCTGCTATTGTGACTTGCCGGGATGATTCGTTTTGAGTTTCAGAGTGTTTTGGGACACTTAGTCCCTAAATGAGAGCTTAAGCCTTAGGACTTGGGTCGTAGTCGGAACTATATGAAGATGACTCCAGAATGGAATTCTGTCGGTTCCGTTAGCTCCGTTAGGTGATTTTGGATTTAGGGGCGTGTCTGGATTGTGTTTTGGAGGTCCGTAGCTCGTTTAGGCTTGAAATGACGAAAGACGAATTTTTCGAGTTTTGGGCCGGTAGTGGAATTTTTTATATCGGGGTCGGAATCCAATTCCGGAAGTTGGAATAGGTCTGTAATATTGAATATGACTTGCGTGCAAAATTTGGGGTCAATCGGACGTGGTTTGATAGGTTTCGGCATCGGTTGTATAATTTTGAAGTTTCAAGTTCTTTAAGTTTGAATTGGAAGGTGATTCGTGAATTTAGCATCTTTTTTGATGTGATTTGAGAGCTCGACTAAGTTCGTAAGGTGTTTTAGGACTTGTTGGTATGTTTGGTTGAGGTCCCGGGGGCCTTGGGTGAGTTTTGAATGCTTAACGGATCACTTTTGGACTTTGAAAGATAGCAGATTTCTGGTGTTCGGTTGCAGGCATTTTCTTCATCGCGTTCGCGAGGGAGCCGTCGCGTTCGCGTAAGGTATCTGGGAAGGGCAGCTGAATTACTCTTCACGTCCGCGATGTCTTTCTCACGTTCGCGAAGGTGTGGAACCTCGAAGCTACGCGTTCGCGATATGGTCCTCGCGTTCGCGAAGAAGAACTAGAGACAGGCGAGATTTCGTGCTTCACGTTCGCGATGGAGATCCCGCGTTCGCAAAGGGTCAAGCTGAGTGGTCTTTGCGTTCACGACATGTTCATCGCGTTCGCGATGGAGGATTTTTGGGCCGAAGTAAATTGTACTTCGCGAACGCGAGGGTGTGGCCGCGTTCGCGAAGAAGGACGCGTCTGGGCAGTATTAAAGTTTCCAAAACGGGGGTTATGCCATTTTTATCAAAAACTTGAGTTGGGAGCTCGGATTTTGGACGAGGGATTGAGGGATTTTCTGAGATATCGATTGGGTAAGTATTCTTAATTCCTTTATGGTTATATTCCACTAATCTACGCTTGGATTCATCGTTTAATTTCGGATTTGGGGTGAGAAATTGAGAAATGTTCTTAGGCTGAATTTTGGGGTTTTGATCGAGATTTTGGTATCGGATTTGAACAATTTTGGTACAAGTAAACTCGGGAGTGAATGGGTGTTCGTATTTTGCGACTTTTACTCCATGTTCATTTGTAAATCATCCCTCAATTTCTTCTTTCTTTCTTCAATTAATAAAGAGGTATTATTTATGTGGTCGTGGAGTAGGCAAAATTGTCGAACCACGTAAATCTTATCTTGTTTTATCTTATGCAATTTATTGCTTTTCTCTTTCAAATATTTTTTCTTCTATTAACCTGACACGTTTCCAACAATATATTGCTTACTCAAGTCTTATATTTGAACAAAATTAGAAGTAGTAGTATTTATGAGTACAACTATTAGTAACTGAGCAGTGGACGTTAGTAAATGAAAAGGCTGCTGATTAACTAAATCTTTGACTCTAATCTTGCACATTAAATATGCATGTGCCTCTTCAGTTTTTGCTATTTTGCCTCTCAAAATTCTATTAAATATACTCTCTCCGTCTCATATTATCTGTCATGATCTTCATGTACACGCCCCTTAAAAAAATTAATTAGAATGGAATTGTGACTACTTTTCCCTTATTCACAGAGTAAAATAGGATGTAGTGAACCCATAACTTTGGACACGGAGTAAAAAATTATATGTAAAATTTCATTAAAAATGCAAAAATAGTAGATGTGAACTCATAACTTTAAAAATATAATGGGTTAAATGTTAAAAACATTAAAATTGAACCCATAGGATTTAAATCCTGAATCCGCCTCTGCTTATTCATGTCTTAATATTTAATCTTTCTTCATTGGTATTTTAATAAAGTTATCCACATATAATTGAGGTGTTTGTAGTCTTCAAGGATGTTATTACGAATAAAAAAGAAAAAGTTTATCAATTTTGTCTTGAAATTCTAAAGTGACAAATAATTTGAGACAACTATTTCTAATAATTATGACTGATAATATGAGACAGATGGAGTATTATTCTCTGATGCATTATGAGCCAACGCATTGCACTCTTGATATACCTATATTCATATGTGCAAGATAGTCACCGTCTGTAAAATCAGAAGAATGATTTAAAGTTTTTCTTCCTTGTATTTTCAGTATCTCATTTTGCAGTACATATCTTGGATTATATACAAGTATGAATGAATCTAGGGCTACATTCTACATTGCCAAGTGGCAATATCCTATTAGTTAGTACAAAGTTGTACCTAAAACAACTACATGGATGGAGCAAATAATTAAATTGCATGTATAAAGTTGTACATGGATGGAGCAAATAATTATAATACACATTCACATAAGCTATGCACAATATGAATATACCATCTGAAAGGGCAGGCCCAGAAGTGGGTTGTGGGCAATTAGGCCCAATGCAAAATGCATTGAGGACCCAAGTTAGGCCCAAAATCCGACTGGCCCATAATTGTTAAATATAAAGATCTGATTAACAGATTTGTACATCATCGTCTCTGTACATCATCGGCTCCAACACCCCCCCCCCCCCAAGTTGNGTGAGTTTTAGCTATTAGGAAATGAATTTATCCACTTAATTTAGTAAGTAGATGTTACTGAAGATTTCAAAAGATCCAACAGTACGCCCCCCCCCCAAGTTGGAGGGGGTAGAAAACACACCTAACTTGCCCAAGAGATCATGATGAAGAGGTCCGGCGAGTGGTTTTGTGAAGAGATCTGCCAATTGGGCAGAAGATCGAACAAAAGACAACGAAATCAGCCCAACGAGGTATTGTTCGCGCACAAAATGACAGTCGATTTCAACATGCTTGGTCCGTTCGTGAAAAATAGGATTTTTTGCTATATGAATCGTTGTTTGGCTGTCGGAGTGAAGAGTGACGGGAAGAGAAATGGGAATCGACAGATCCTCAAAAAGACGGACCAACCATGTAAGCTCACCAACCACACGGGGCATGGATCTATATTCTGCCTCGGCCGAACTGAGTGAGATGGAAGTCTGCTTCTTGGATTTCCAAGAAATCGGAGAGGTACCAAGGGAGATGTAAAACCCACTCACCGACTTCCTTGAGTCCGGGCAGGTGGCCCAATCAGAGTCACAAAAAGCGAGGAGCTTGAAAGAGGAGGAAGAAGATATAAAGAGTCCAAGTCCAGGGTCTTTGAGCAGATAGTGAAGCACACGGAAGGCTGCATCTAGATGTGGCTTTCGTGGGTCCTGCATGTACTGGCTGAGGTGCTGGACAGTGAAGGATAAGTCTGGTCGGGTATGAGTGAGGTAGTTAAGTTTTCCAAGGAGATGGCGATACAAGGTGGGATCCTCTATTGGTTCCTCTGTGTGAGTAGACAAACGAGTAAATGAGTCAAGTGAAGAAAAAACATGTGACAAATTGAGGGAATCAAATTCTTGGAGAAGGTCTAAAGTGAATTTGCGTTGAGAAAGGATGAGTCCATCGCGTTCTCGGATGACTTCCATGCCTATAAAAAATGTAAGTTCCCGAGATCTTTTATTTTGAATTTTTGATTGAGAAATTCTTTTAACGTATGTAGTTCTGCATTGTCATTCCCTGTCAAGAGTGTGTCATCCACATAGACTGCCACTATAGAAATGGAAGAATCTGATTTTTTAAAGAACAAGGAATAATCGTTTAACGAGTGAGTGAATCCCTTAAAGTTCAAAGCAGTTGTAAGTTTAGCGTACCACTGTCGAGATGCTTGTCGTAGCCCATAAATCGATTTCTTTAACTTACAAGCATGGGTAAGTGAAGGAGGTACAACCCCAAGTGAGAATTTCATGTACACTTCTTCCTTTAGATCTCCATGTAGGAAAGCGTTATTCACATCGAGCTGGTATAGACCCCATCCTTTCTTTACTGCAGTAGCCAATATGCATCTGATTGTGGTCATCTTCACCACAAGTAAAAAAGTTTCATTGAAGTCTATCCCCTCTTTTTGTATGTCTCCTCTAATGACCAATCTTGCCTATAGTCTTTCTATACTCCCATCTGAATTTTGCTTAACTTTATATACCCATTTGTATGGTAAAGCCTTTCTCCCAAGTGGTAATTGAACCACTTCCCAAGTCTTATTAAGTTCAAGTGCCTCAATCTCTTTATCCATTGCTTCCTGCCATCCTGGGTGATGTATTGCCTGTAAATAGTTGGTAGGTTCTTGTATATTGGACAATGTATTTAGCATATGTTGATTAGTAGAGGAAAGTCCACTGAAAGATACACAAATAGGTATAACAGGTGTGAGAAAGCAAGAGTTGATAACATTTATGAATTGGAGTACATTACAGATATAATCCTTGAGATAAGATGGAGTTGTGTGTGGTCTGGTAGATTTCCTAATAAGACCATCCATTATAGGATCAGAATCTAAAGAAGGAAAGACTGGGGCATATGTATGTGGATGACCAGATGATGCTGGAGAATCTGGAGAGAACCTAGAAGAAGAGGTAGAGGGAATAGGTGTGATGGGATGAATTGAAGAAATGGGAGAAGAACATAAATCAATTGATGATTCAGTAGGCCTTTGGGAAGCTTCAGTGTCAGATCTGCTAGAAAAAGGTGTATTTTTAAGAGTTTGGTTACTTAGAGTAACTTTAGCAATGGGCAAAGAAATAGCAGAAGAAGAATTAGACTTAATAGAAGCAAATGGAAAGAATTCTTCATGAAATACAACATCTCTAGAAATGAAGGGTTTCAAATTCTTGAGGTTCAATACTTTGCAACCCTTTTTTCCATGAGGATAACCTAAGAACACACAAGGTATAGCCCTTGGTTCAAACTTAGTTCTAAGATTTGAGAGAGTTGAAGCAAAACATAAACATCCAAAGTATCTAAGGTTTGAGTAATTTGGCTTGCTTGTAAAAAGAACTCCATATGGAGTCTTAAGCTTTAAGACAGTTATTGGAAATCTGTTGATCAAATAGGTTGTTGTAAGAAGTCAGTCACCCCAGTATGATATAGGTAGGTGTGATTGGTATAACAAGGCTCTGGATGTCTATAAAAGATGTTTGTGCTTTCTCTCCACAACTCCATTTTGGCGTGGTATGTACACATAAGTGGTTTGATGAACAATACCTTGTGACTGAAAGAATTCTGATTGAATGTTTTTACTACCTAATTCAAAAGCATTGTCTGACCTTATAGTCTTTACCTTGATGTTAAACTGCATCTCTACCATGGCTAGGAATGTTTTCAGAATAGTGAATGATGCATTTGATTTGTTGGTTAATAGGTAGGTCCTTGTGCCCCTACTGAAACCATCAACAATTGTGAGAAAATACTTAAATCCATCATATGTAGTATTATTGTATGGTCCCCAGGTATCCACATGAATTAATTCAAATAATTTCTTAGTAGAAGTAGAACTAGAAGGAAAAGAAAGTTTGGACTGCCTTTCCATAGGACAAATAACACATGGAGTGGAGAATTTGGAACACTTGGATATAGAAACTGATGAAACATTCTTCATATTGCTAGGGGGCATAAGACCTAATCTGTAGTGTCACAGCTTTTCCTTTACAGTTGAATCAAAAAAACTAAAACATGAATGTAAACTATGATTGGAAACAGAATTCCTTCTTGGAATGAAAACTCTTCTAAACTTAGGTGAACTCTTAGACACTGCTGCTCTATATCTGGATCTGAGAATGTAGAGGCCTCATTTATCTTTACCAATTTCCAGTGGGCTCTTCATTGAAGGGCCTTGTAGAAGGAAACAAGAAAAGGGAGTGAATAAGACATATTGCTTGAGTTGTTTGCACAACTTGTGCACAGACAACAGATTATATTTAAAAGATGGAATATAGAGCACATTCTGCAGAAATAGATTAGGCAAAAGGGGCACAGTTCCTGAATAAGTGACTTTAATTCTATAAGAGTTAGGGAGTTTGACCATGAGAGGTTTTGGCAAGGTTTTTAAATTTGTGAAAAATTCTTTGTTGAAAGACATTGTTGCTCCACTATCCAATATCCAAGAATCACTACTGATTTGATTTAAACAGGCAATATCTTCAGAGAAGTTGGGCATACCAGCACAGATCACTTTTGCTGCAGCATCAGAGGTTCCTGCACTGTTTTGTCCTATCTTCATTTGCTAAAGAAGCTGCAACAGCTCAGCCATATTTTCCTTGGTGAGATTTTGAGCTCATATAGTATTTTCTGCTCCCTGTTCACTATCCTCATTTGAGAGGAAAATATTGTTTGCCTGGGTACCTACCTGAAAAATTTTCTGCCTTGTAAACTTGAAGTCAGCTGGAAACCCATGAATCCTATAGCACTTGTCTATGCTATGTCCAGGCTTCTTGCAATAGGAACAAATTCCTGCATTTTTCTTAAATTCAAAACTTGTTTTCTGCATCCTGTTTTCATTAAGCTTTCTGAAGTGTCCTGATTGGTTTGTAGCAATGAATGAGGCAGACTCCCCTGGGTATGCAGGGGTAGCATGTATCTCCCTCTATTTCTCATCTTGAATCACAAGGGAGTCTGCATGTCCAATGGAAGGCAAAGGTGATGATAATAAAATATTGCTCCTTACCCCAATAAATATGTCATTCAGTCCCATTAGGAACTGCAGTAGTCTCTCATCTTGATGTGCCTTCAAGCTCTTCACTTTTTTCCCACACTCACACTCACAAACACAAACAGAAAAAGTGTTGAGTGCATCTAGTTCATCCCATGGGCTCTTCATTTTGGTGAAGTAAGTTGATACACTTGAATTTCCATGTACTACTAAACTTAATTCCTTTTGTAATTGAAAGAACTTTGCTCCATTTGCCTGACCAAATCTATCTTCCAGGTCACTCCATAGATCATTTGCACTCTGTGAATAGAGAACACTCTCAGCTATCTCTTTGGACAAGGAGTTGAGTAGCCATGAGAGTACCATATCATTACATCTTGCTCAGGCTTGCTGGATTGCAGAATCAGTTTTTGGGAAGATAAGAGAACCATCAATAAATCCCAACTTGTTCTTTGCAGACATGGCAATGATAACTGCCCTTTTCCAACCTCCATATCCTTTCCATCAAAAGATGAGGATACAAAGTTCATCCCTGGATAGTCAGAAGGGTGAAGGTAGTAAGGATGAGTAGAGTCAATCACTCCTGAAGCAATGGTAACTCCATGTGCAGGAACATTGGTGGTGGGAGTACCAAAAGCTAGAGTTTCAGCCGAGTGTGGTGAAGAACTCATAGCAAACAAGCTTAAGAGAAAAGGAAGAAGAAAAGTGAAAACTGGTTTCTGACTGAGGAAGCAGAAATGATAGCAGAATCAAACCTGCTCTGATACCATGTACAATCAGAAGAATGATTTGAAGTTTTTCTTTCTTGTATTTTAAGTATCTCATTTTGCAGTACATGTCTTGGATTATATACAAGTATGAATGAATCTAGGGCTACATTCTACATTGCCAAGTGGCAATGTCCTGTTAGTTAGTACAAAGTTATACCTAAAACAAATACATGAATAGAGCAAATAATTAAATTACATGTATAAAGTTGTACATGGATGGAGCAAATAATTATAATACACATCAATGTGAATATACCATCTCAAAGGGCAGACCCAGAAGTAGGTTGTGGGCAATTAGGCCCAATGCAAAATGCATTGAGGACCCAAGTTAGGCCCAAAATCCGACTGGCCCATAATTGTTAAATATACAGATCTGATTAACAGATCTGTACATTATCGGCTCCAACACCGTCAACGGCGGAGGCAGTATTTCCACTAAAGGGTTCAAAACAAAAATAAAGTTAGAAATTAAAAAGGGATGTGGCTAGTGGAAATTGAACTAGCTATCTTATAAAGGTTTTGAACGCCCTTAACTATTAAACTATGCTTCTGGGCTATGACAAAGAGATTCAAAATATAATATATAGAGGCACAAAATAAATTTTGCATTACATGTACAATTCTGACAAAAGGAGTTCGAGTGAACCTTCTTCTGAACCCTAAATCCGCCTCTGATCATAGTAACTATGGTACTTCAAGATGTATCTAAAAGTTGAGAAAACAAATTAAACACCTTCCGTTTTTTGTCTTTACTGACTCAAGAAATGGGAAAAAATCATTTTTAGTATTTCATTAAAATTAAATGGTACTTAATGAGCTGTTTCCAAAAGGTTGAAAGAGATTAAAAAATCCTCTTACAAACAGATCAGTTGTGGCCATAAAACTCTATACTAGAATGGCGTACATAGGATTTTTGGTAAGCGGTGTCAATATTTAAAGAAATGTCTATAATAACAAGCATTATCATTTTTTTTATATTTATACCTAATAATTTTATTTTATATACTATCTATATTTACTTATTTAATAAAATATTTCGACGAAACATTGTTATGTGATATGGGTTGTCGCAAGGTGTATCCACCCAATGGGATGTCACCGTCAGCTTGAGCACGGCAAAGTACCTTTAATTCATGGGAGAAAACTGCAGGTTATCAATTGGTTAGAAAATGAATAATAGGCCATTTGATACCGCAAAAGCACAAATGCAAAAAATAGGAGAAATATATACCTTTGCTCTTTGCATCTTAAATATTTCTCTTTCAAGATTGAGACAAGGAAGCATATGGCGCCTTCGATTTTTTGAATATTCTAAAGAGTTTAACTCATATATAGAGGTAAGGCAAAAAAGATTCACACACTATCATGTTAGCTTTAGCTTTATTTTTTATAGCGTGTGACTTATCTTGTCATCAAATGTTTTTGCACTATTAGGTTTTCAAAAGATCAGTTTAACTCTATGGCGCTTGCTACGACTGTTCTTTTTCATCTTTTCTTGAGTCGATGGTCTATCAAATATAGTATTTTTATCCTCATAAGGTAAGGATAAGATTTGCGTACACTTAACCCTCCTCAAACTCCAGCCTGTTATTGTTGTAAAAGACATCTATGGCGGAGCTAGACAACATACTACATGTGACCTTACATAAAAAGTGAGATTGGTAATATCAAAGCTAGATTACCTCCTACAACATATAAAAAGTAACCTAATATTGTACAAAAGAATTTTACACTATCAATGTGTATGTGTGTCTATATATATATATATATATATATATATATATATATATATATATATAA